ATCAGTAAAACAATGTTTGTAATAAAGATAACCAATAATCATTATTTGCAATAAAGATAATCAATAACAGTAATTGCAATCATGATAATAAACGAATTTGAAAGGTATTATGATTAGGTCTCTTTGAGATCACTTTGAGTCCGGGAGTTCACCGTTACTGAGTGAACTACCCGGAAGTTGCAGTTTGAGGGTCAGATACGGCTTAGTGTGCTAAAAAATTTCGGAAAATTTCAGAAGAAACGCTCGAATTTCTCAAAAACGCGATTTTTTGGGAGTTTCCACCGTCAAAATCCGATTTCTGAAAGCCTAAACCTATTTTCGGAATTTCTCCAACAAGGGGAACGGAAAAAAAAATTCGCGAAAATTTCGGTCCCAACCCTAATTTTCCGGGTTTCCGCGAAATTTCCGGATTTTCAGTCCCAAAACGTTCGAATTTCCCCAAGTTGATCTACAACCCAAAGATATCCGTAACCCTAATTCCCAATACTGAAAGACAACGGAAATCCAAAAGACAACCAAATATAGGATTTACAGCAAAAATGCCGAAAAAAAACGGAATGCTGAATGGACATCAGAAACGCCGAATTTCAACATGATACTGATTCAATCCTAATTCGAGTAACATCAGAAATCCGAAACTTAATCAATTATTGGACTAGTTTTACTCAATCGGAACTCAAATAGCAGTATATCGGAAGAAAACAGAAATCCGACTTATAAGTCCGAATACCGAATTGAACGGAAATGCCGAACTAAATAGAATACCGAAAAAGAAAAAGAAATTTTGCAACTTTGAACTCGATAGTAATTCAGCGCTGATTGGGAAGATCGAAGAGCAATCTAATTCCTAACCAGGCTTACCTTTGTGAGCAGATCCGTTTTATGGTCTGCTCCGATACCAAAACTGTTGCATACTCCAATGAGTATGGGCAGAACCAAGAATCAACCAATGTAGGATGAGTATAGATGCAACGGAAGTCTGATAAACGGACTGACTCACATAGACTGACTCACATAGCATCACTCCACACACATACAATCGTGAGATGGTGGGGTCTGAGCCATATAGACAGGATGCTCAGCCCCGTACACAACATACACAGATGAATGGGGGAGGAGAGACGAAGGAGGTGGGGCGGTTAGACAGCACTGAAAATCACCGGAATAGAGATCTGATAGGTCACCGATATGGTAGTCCAAAATGTCATCCCACAAGATCAAAATGTCGAGGGCCATAGGTCACCAATGTCGGAGATACAGAGTCCAAATGTAACCGGTGTCCGAACGGTGATGTCACCAAGTATCAACCCCAACGATCTCCAAGTCTCCAATCCGGTAAGTACCACAGTCTCATATCACCGAAGTCCACCTCTGATCTCTGTCCAACTAGCATAAGTCTTCCATCTGAAGAAGAAGAAGAAGAAGAAGAAGAAGAAGAAGAAGAGAGCCGAGGAGGAGAGGGAGAGAGAGGGGACTGGCGAGGGGAGGGAGGAGAGAAGCCTCCGACTCCCGGTACCTCAGGCGGCTATGGCCGCCGGTAACCCAGTCGCCGCTGCTGCTGCTCCGCTCCCTGCTGCTGCGCTACCTGCTCCTCGCTCCTGCGCTAAACATAGCGCTCCAACGGCACGCTGGTGCCGACCTTACCGCACCGTATCGTATACCGGTGGGTCGATGCCTCGAAGTGAGGCCGGACCAGTACTAAGTACTGGTTCRAAGMGGACCGGCCTCACTSCTGCGAGGCCTTGGTTGGGGCTGAACCGTCCAGATCGACGATTCAGGTCCAACCGGAGAGTGGCAGCCTCAAATGGCGCCGTCAGGCCCAAGGACGAAATGTCATTTGGGCCTGGTCCGTAGTCGGGTCCAAGTCGTGGCCTTTCGGCCTGTTATCCCCCAAGGTCGGGCCTTTAGGCCCTGATGTGTCCCTCTAGCCCTAAGTCGGGTCCAGTAGGACCCGTGTGGCGTCGAAGATGTAACAGACCGCCAGTACCTTTCCCATATATTGGGCACAGGCCCTGCACGCCAAGGATTCCGGATGTATCTAGCTGGGGCGTGAGGCCAGCTCCGGCCTCCATGTTAACCAGCGGGCAATTCTTTTTTGGCTGGGAAAGGTACTGGCGGTTTAAACAAGCAAACGACAACAGGCCTAGCTTTTTTCTTCTTCTTTTCCACAGAAAAGACCAATGGGGGTGTACGGATCCACCATTGGAACAAAGAAACGAAAAGAGCATCAATATCCCATACATAGCAATGACAGTCCATCGCACGGCCGAGCATGGCCGCCCCCTTCTCTTCTGTAGTAACCACAGCGACCAGGGTGTACTGATTCAAATGTCCTTCGGATTCGAACTCGGCTCGTCATTTCAAAAGTTCACGGGTGAACCGAACAAACGAAAAGAACGAAACAAAAGAACAACCAAACGAAAACCAAAACAAAAAGAAACGAAAAGGAAATGAAAACCAACGAATGTGATGGGCCCAAATCATCAGATCCCACGCCTCGCCATGATTCCCAGTGCAACAGGGGGACACAATTGATGAAATTCGCGCCGCAATTGCCAACGAAAACGGCGAATATTTGGGGCCCAGTTAACCGTCTCTCAACCATCGAGAGACGGTTAACGGGGGCCCAAATATTCGCCATTTTCATTGGCAATTGCGGCGCGAATTTCATCAAAATTTTTAAAAACAAACGATATGAGACCATAGTGCAAACATCAAAAAAGGAAACAGGCCAAAAAAAACGGAAAAAAAAACAAAAAAAACACTATGAAACCCTAACACAAAGACACTGTCCGAGTCAAAATGAAGCGTCCAACGAATCCAACAAAATGCCAACTTTTTCATTATTGATCAAAGCGTGTCAAAACTGCACACATGACGTACCCTAAAACACATATATATCACACAAAAAGAAAAACATGAAAAAAAGCAAAAAATCAGCACAATATGACAGTTTCAGTGCAATTCGGTGCAAAATTCGTCGAAAATAACACCCCTGGTTAACATAAGCTGCCCACATACCTGTGTCCCATAATGGCCCACTTGCATGCTATGAAAGGAAATAGAGTAAAAGGTGAGGTATACTACTGTTCGTTTTCAGCAGAACTTTAGCTTATGTTGAGTGTGTGTGTGTCTCGTCATATTCGCTATACCCAACTCCACAAAGAAATGCATGACTGTGCCGGGAGGTGTGTAAGAGTGAGTGTTATAAGACTTGCAACTGTACGAGTATGTGTTGTAAATTGTCACCGCAACAACCCTTCTCCACCCAGTTGAGCAGATCCAAGATTGAAACAGCTTCACCAATAAAGCAATCAACGAAAAAGCACACTGAAACAGCTTTACCTCTACAGCAAGCAACATGCAGGCCACTAAAACCGTCATATTGCTATTTCCTTGTACAGTGTGTGTGCATATGAAATCTCTGAGACTTGTCGGCGAAAAAGGAATCAGATCAATTCTCCCCAGAATAGAAATCAAGCCAGGACCAAATGCAACGGCCGTCGGCCATTTAAAAAAAAAAAGCACTCAATATACCTTAACAGGACTTGCAACTGCCACAAAGACATATGCGAGTGTCTCCTGCATGTGCTCTCTGCTAGAGCTCTCCAAATCGCTATTGACCGATCCCGACACCTTCTCAGCACTGCTCTTCAGCCTGAAAGACAGAACGTCAAGACTTCGGATTTGTACGACTGCTGGAACGGCCATTCCTGCAAACACACACACAAATGCACAACGATTTCAGAAACGCCCTTCACAATTCATAAATGAATAATGCCAGGTTGATTACAAGACATAGACTCTATAAAAAGAGGGTGGGTTGTGCAGACAATCCCAGCTGGACAGGGGAGGTGACAGAACAATGCAACATGGGGTCGGGGCCGGGGGCGAACATTGAAAAAATGCTGATGACTGCTTTGGGAAATCTTGACTACTTTCATACATACATTTCAGAGAGAGAGAAATATCTACAAGTTTTCAACTAGCGAATGGCAGACCACGAAAAAAGAAGAAGAGAAAGAGTACTCTGCTAATGTAGGATCTCTACCGTCAAGACTCCTTTGACAATGGTTGTGGCATCGCTCGAGAACCTCCACAGAGCAAGACTAACAAACAACGTTTCTCGCATAGAGGACTGCCTGTGCCACGACCGAGGACTTGTAGACTTCGCCTAGGCTCAGGGCAAGGCTGAAATCCCATATCCAGTGCTTGAATTTTGTGCAATAAACCTGAACCGTTTGGAAATCA